CTGCGATAACATAAATAAAATATCATAAAAAAAACTACAAAAATATATTTACTTTATACAGTCTGCGCATCATATATGACATTTTAAACAAAAAAAAAACTCTTCACGGGCAACCTCTCTAGCCTAGCCTAGCCTAGCCTAGCCACACTTAGCGTCATGTTTCTCATCCCATTCCACAATTTTCCACCATCCATCCTTTCGGTAATGATGTAATGGTGTTTGACCCTGGAAGAGAGCTGGGGGAGGGGAGACGTCGAGGCGGAAAAAAAAAGGCACTGTGACATCTGCAGGACCGGTGGAAGAAAGCAGTGGGGATGAAGGATGAGCGGGGGAGGCAGGGAGGGTGGGCGGGAGGGCAGGGAGGTGGGGGAAGATCAGGGTGCTGCAGATGATAAATCAGACCTCGTACCCGGCTCTATTCTAGCGATGCTAATTCCTAGCGTTGGTCTCGGGCAGCGACGGGGCCCGGCTAGCATGTTGGAAATGACCTCGGTCCACGGCGACGTTTGTGGTGAATACGAGTCTGACCCCATTCTCTTCCTCAGCAGATAATCAGCACCATGGAAACCCAGGTGTCTAACGGTCCAAGCGGAACCAGTATGCCCAACGGTCCAGTCATCAGCACCAACGGCTCCACGGACGACAGCAAAACCAACCTGATCGTAAACTATCTGCCTCAGAACATGACCCAGGAGGAGTTCAAGAGTTTGTTCGGTAGCATCGGAGAAATTGAATCCTGCAAGTTAGTCAGGGACAAAATCACAGGTACGAGAAAAAAGCGTGTTTGCCGATTTGGTCTGAGGTCTTTGAACGAGGAACGTTATCCGGTTGCTGATGTCCGTTTTTTTTTTTTTTTTTTTTTTTCTCCTCGCCTTCAGGTCAGAGTTTGGGATACGGATTTGTCAACTACGTGGATCCAAACGATGCGGACAAGGCCATCAACACGCTCAACGGTCTCAAACTGCAAACCAAAACAATCAAGGTGACCAGTCTTTGACACTAACGGATATCAACTAGGGATGTCCGACATTGACGTTTTACAGATATCCGATATGCCCGAATATTGTCCGAAAAAATATCAACCGATACCGATGTATCGGGGCTGGTGGTAAAAGGAATTACATTTTTCTGCATACAATCCCCTGATTAATTAAAACAGATTGATAAAATGAGCTGAGATGCTGCCATCTAGTGTCTTTCACTTTAATATACAGCCGTTTTTCCCCCCAAAACTATTTTTAGGCCACATATCATTTGACAAAACCCAAGGATTGCGTTATCGGGTTTTCATTATCGAAGGAAAAACCGATATTCTTACAGATATTACACGACTACGCTAACATCGGTCGGCCGATATTATCGGACACATCCCTAAAATTCCCCTGATTTGTGTTCTTGCAGATTTTTTTTCTTCTTCTAACAAACAGAGGAAGTGGAGACTTTAATGAAGGGGGCGTCGAGGGGAGAGGGTGGCAGATGTGACAGAGGGACGGGAGGGGGGAGGTGGCAGAAGGGAGCAGGGGCTAGAACAAAGAGCGCGAAAGAAGAAGAAAAAAAAAAAAAAAGGGTGAAAGGGATTGCGAGTGTGGAGGTCAGAAAGCAAGGGGCAGACAGCACACCCTGGTTATTGTGATGGAAATGTAATTAGTGATTAGCGAAGTCCAACTGTGCCGCACCGGGGTCAGTGCACGCAGGTTACCCCATCTGCCTTCAATCAGGGTGAATTAGGGGGGGGGGGTTTCTTTGTGCGGGAGCCAGACACGAGGAGCTAAAGGGTGTCGGTGTGGGTAGCTAACTATTAAACGCCGCTTCCGTCCGCGCTGATCAAAGCGGCTCGGAGATTTAAGACGAGCAGCAGGACTGAGAAATCGGATTTGAGAGATCGCAGGGCGATCGCTCAGTAAAACGTAAACGCTGAGCTCAAAGATGAAGGGAAAGGGGGGAAAGTGAGAAACCGGCGCGGACTTTCGGAGCATCCGATTCCAAATATAGCTAGCTGATGATCCGATAGCATGCAGCGAATTGAAAGATTATTGTAATTGTATTTTTACATGACTAATTATCCGGTGCGTTCATACCGTAGTTCACCTCGTCTGTAATTAAGTAAGTAAAAAAAAAAAAAAAAAATCTATTCACAAATTAAATCACCGGGGTTCTGACGCTAACGTCGCGACGCTAGCTTCAGGATTACGCCGCTGTCAACTGTCAAGGATTTTTTTTTTCGATTTCTAGTGTAAAATCTCTGATAGAGGCAGGGGTGCGGGGGAG